TGCAGTTGGCCCACGCCGCCATCGTGACCACCAGCATGATGTAACCCAGGCGGTTCCTGGCCCTCCTTGTGGTCCTTAGGAGCAGTGCCCTGACATGGCAGAGGTCCTGCGTGGCTGGCGACTCCCATGTCGGCTTCGGCGCCTTGGGCTCCAGCGGAAAGGCTTCCTCTGCCGCCTTCAAGACCTGGCTGTCGAGGTAGTCCGCGTGATCGTTGGGGTGGACGTTCGCTGCCGGGTGCTGCACTTGCCCCATCAGCTCGTCGAACTTCGCTTGGCAAGAGAACGTGGTGAGCTTGGTCTTGTCCACCTTGGGGCGCTGCCACCTGGGCGGTCTTTCCCCATCTTGGCCCTGCGGGAGCTGCACCTCCAGGTCCACCACTGCGTGGTCCTTGTGGGAAACCGCAAGCTCGATGTTGTCGTTGACCCCTTGTTCGCCCACATGCTGTAGCAGCTCCTGTGGTACCGCGATGTAATCTATGCGCTTGCCGTCCTCAGCGGACCTGGCCCTCGATGGAGTCCACGTGGCGTAGACATTGTTCCTGGATTGGGCCAGCGTGGAAGGCAGGCAGGAGTCTGTGCGCTTGACGTACTTGCGGAGGCAGGCCCCTGGGAGGTTCTCCTTCTGCGCTCCGTACTCCCCGATGCCGACCGTGGGGACCGATCCCACCTGGGCGTTGGCGTCGACCAGGGAGAAGAGCCGCGGGCTGGGGTCGGGCCTCTTGTCGACGATCCTTTGGGTGTGCTCCCACCAGTCCCTGATCTCTCCTGGGGGCCTGTGGCTGTGTGGGGCATGTCCGACCAGGATGTCGCAGTTGAGGAAGGGGGCCCTGATGCACACCAGCAAGCGGGTCGGCCCCTTGCGCACGATCGCCACATGCTGCTCCTGCAGGGTGGGGCCGTCCTCGCCAAGCCGGCCCACCGTGTTGATCCACAGCGAGACCCCGAAGCGTCCTCCTTCTTCGGCAGCAGTGTGGAGCACCATGTAGTGGCCCACTCTCACGACGGACTCGGCAGGGACCCTGGTCTCGAGCGTGCCGACCAGGTGGTAGCCCGCGTCCCCGAACTGCTGCGCTAGGGACTGCATCCTACCTGGGATGAGGACACCTGTGAAGGCTTTCCCCTTGTTCACCCTGGACTTCCTGGGATCGAGCGTCAGGACATTGGCCGCTGCTAGCCGTAGCTTCCGTGGCTTGTTGTGTTGCTCCTCCCCCCTCCTTTTGCCTCGGCCCTCGCCCTGAGAGGCGATGTCTCCCTGGGACAGGTGCTTCAGGAGAAAGCTCTGGAGGCATTGGGACGGGGCCTCGAGGACAGGGACGGGGAGGCCTGGGAGCGGGTACTGGAGTCTCTCGGCCTGAGGGGCAACACTGAGCCACAGCCAGGGCGCCTGCGGCAGCACCTGCTCCATGCGCTCCCAGAGGTCGAAGCCGTTGGGCCACGCGATGAGGCCGCCTCTGGCCAGCGTGGCGACGGTGTCGGCGAGCTCGTTCCACGGGTCCGCCATGTGGCCGCCGACGTGCGACCAGAGGACGTCCTCGGCGCTGTGTCTCAGCACCTTGACGATGCTGTCCAGGAAGCTGGCGTACGGCGCGTAGTGCTCCAGCGCGGCACCTCCTCTCCCTATGTCCACCACGTAGTTGTTGTCGGTGTAGAAGCTGATCACTGGCAGCTGCGCGTGCTTGCCCGTCTCGTCCACAGCCACCTGGAGCTGCAGGAGCCAGAGGATCGCGGCAATCATCGCACATATCTCTGCGGCACCTGACGGCTGGCTGAACTGTTCCCCCAGCGTCGGCATCGCATCGCCCATCGTGCCGATGAGCACGAACTCGTCGTCGTGCGTGTAGCCCAGCACGACGAATGCCCAGGCCGGCGGCCCAGGAAGATGACCGCGCGTGCTGCCGCCCGAGCCATCCGTGTAGATGAGTAGCGTCTCGAACAGGCTTGGATCAAAATCGCCCTGCAGACGCGAGCACTTGGACAGTACTCCCTTGGTGGAGCTGTGAAGGTATTGCTCTCCATACTCGACGAAGCCCTTGTCGATGGAGATTGGCCATGCTGCCCTCAGCACTGCCAAGTCGGCTGCTGTGTCTGGAATTGGCGTGCCAACACCAGTCCTTGGCAGCGCCTCTGAAAATGAAGTCGTTGTGGCGGCTCTGTCTACCGGGCCACGCCCCCCTGTCGCTTCCGTCGCCGCTGAAGACGGTAGCGGGGGCTGGCCCGGGTAAACTAGCCCAACGGCCGCCCGTTGGCGTCCAGCCGCTGCCCCACTCTGACGTCGCTCATGGCTTTCTCGTCGGCGGCGGACGGCGCCTGGCACTGCTGCAGCTCCTGCAGTGGGGAGCGGGCTGCCGCCACCTCGACCACAACTGGGTCGCCATTCTCGTCCTTCATGACCTTGACGGCTCCCTCTGCGCTGTCCGTGGCAGCTCCTCCAGACGATAGGGCCAGCCTCCTCTGGCCTGGCGGCGGCGGCTCCGCAAACGCCTTGGCTGGGGACTTGGCTGCCTTGCCTGCGCTCGCGCTCTTCTGGCTGGTGGGCAGCCTCCCTCCACCTGGAACGGGGATATCCTCCGCTCCTGCGGCCTGCGATGGCTGGCCTTGGAGGGGGCGCCCATTGAGCGCTGCGAGGATCTGCCCCAGCGTGTCCTGCATGGACCCCATCTGTGTCTCCAGCTTCGCCACGCGGTTCTGATCTTGGGCCGTGCCTGTGTGTGACCATGCTGGCCTTACTGGCATCTGCTGCTGCCCTGACGAGCCTCCTCCATAGCCGTCGTCGTCCGCGTCCTCGATCTCCTCGTCGCTGTCGTCCGGCACCGCCGCGTCACTGGCGAACTTGTGCGCGGCTGGCTCCGCGGCGGCGTGGGCTCCTCCCTGCGGCGGGTAGGCGCACCAGTGCTCCAGCTGCGCCATCTGCGCCATGAACTCCTGCGCGTGCTGGTACTCCTTCTGGGCCTTGACCGCCTCCGCCTTGCACGCCTCCGCCGCCAGCTCCGCGGCAAACTGGGCGTCCTTGGCGGCCGACAGCGCTTTCTTGGCCTTGTTGACGAACTGCTCCTGCTTCTCCATGCGCGTGGTCGGGTCTTTAGCGAGGATGACCTGGCAGTGGAGCGCAGCATACTCGTTCTCCGCCTGCTTGAGGCGCTGCGGGGAGACCTGCTCCGGGGGCATGCTGCGGATCGCCCTCACCGCCTCCGCCGCCGCCACCATCGCCTTGCGCAAGGACTCCCTGTGGCGCTTGAGTCCTGCGGCAATCGGCGGGGCGGAGAGCCAGCTGGGGTGGTGCTGCGCCTGGTTCGGCAGCATGGGCAGGATGCCGATGTTGCCCGAGGTCGCTGGCCCTCTTGCATCTGCCTCCCCTTGGTCTCCTGCAGCAGCTCCTCGCCCGTGTCCTCCTCTGTCTGCCGATGCAGAGCGCTTCCTCCAGGGGGGCTTTGCCTTTTCCTTCTGGCCACCACCTCCTCCTCCTCTGGGCGCTCCGCAGCCTCTGCATGTCGCTCTCGACGCGAAGTTGTCCTGGCTGCACTTCACGAAGGAGCAGCGCCAGGTTGCTGTATGGCCTGTCGAACGTGACGATGCACGGTCTCCCAGCGCCATCCTGCCGCTGCTGTGGTGCTTGTCCAGTAGGCCTGCCGCCGCACCAAGCCGCAGGAGCACTCGTGCGTTGGCACGCTCCGTGCGGCGGCGGCGGTGCCAGGCCGGATCCAGATCGGGGCCGCGCGGCGTGGCGGCGCCCGTGGTCGCGCGACCGCGGAGGTGTCGCAGGCCACTGTGGCCTGCACCCAAACACCTCGAGCAGGCCACGGCGACTAGAGCGAGGGGAACGAGGGAGGGGGGGGGGAGGGAGGGGAGGGATTGGAGGGAGAGGGAGGGATGGAGGGGAAGGGAGGGGAGGGAGGGGAAGGGATGGGGGGAAGGGAGGGGAGGGAGGAGGGAGGGAGGGAGGGAGGGAGGAGGAGGAGGGAAGGGAGGAGGAGGAGGGAAGGGAGGAGGGGGCGGCGGGGCGGGGAAAGGCGGAGAGGGTCTCCCCCATCCACTCTCCTAAATCTTCTTCTCCTACACGCTCTTCCTCGCTCCTCGTCCTCCTCCTCCTCCTCCTCCTCCTCCTCCTCCTTTACAAGCACACATTATTAATACTAATTGCTCTCCTCTCTCCTCTGACTCCATCTGGAAGTCTTCTCGCCCTCTCCGCGTTTTGTTTCTACATAGCAGGATTGGACAACGGTATAATCATAATGTTGTTGTTTCCGCGAGGTTGTTTCCAGTGTTGCGAGATGGTGTTCCCGCTGCAGCGTGGGCTTTATTTTCGCATCGGCGCTTTGCTCGCGCCGTTCAGAATGGCGCTCTCGCCCCAGCACGGGCAACTTTTCTGGATCCGATTCCTGTTTCATCGTTGTCGCCCCCTTCCTTTCCCTTCCTCTGCCTTTTCCTGGTCCTCGTGCTCCTCCCGCTTCTTCCACTCCAGTTCCTGCTGCTGGTATTGTTCGCCCTCGTCCTCGTCCTGTCACATATTCCAGTTTTCGTCCTGCTCTTCCGCCACCTGCTCCCTTTCCTCCTCTCTCCTCCTCCTCATCGCTGCTTCCCTCCTCTCTGTCCTTGTCCTCCTCCTCCTCCTCGCCTTCTCTCCTCCTCATCTTTCCTCCTCAGCTCCTCCTCCTCCACCTCCTCCTCCTCTCTCCTCCGCCTCTTCTTCCTCATCCTCCTCCTCTCTCCTCCTCCTCCTCCTCCTCCTCCTCCTCCTCCTCCTCCTCCTCCTCCTCCTCCTCTCCTCCTCTCCTCCTTCTCTCTCTCCTCCTCCTCCTCCTCCTCCTCCTCCTCCTCTCCTCCTCCTCCTCCTCCTCCTCCTCCTCCTCCTCCCTCCTCCTCCTCCTCCTCTCCTCCTCCTCCCTCCTCCTCCTCCTCCTCTCCTCCTCTCTCCGCTTGCCTCTGCTCTCCTCTCTCCTCCCTCCTCCGGCGACGCGCGCGGGGGCGATCCCCTCGGGCACGTGCCTCCCTGCGCCCGCTAGGGCAGCGGCCTCGCCGCGCCGCCGGCGCGCCAGCGCGGCCGGCCCGGGCGGCGCGGGCCCGCGCCGGCGCCGAAGCGCCGTCGGGTGGAAGGCCTCGAAGGTGCACATGCCCCCGCTCCACAGACCCTCTCCTCCTCCTTCTCCTCCTCCTCCTCCTCCTCCTTTCCTCTCCTCCTCCTCCTCCTCCTCCTCCTTCTCCATCGCCTCCTCCTCCTCCTCCTCCTCCTCCTCCTCCATTTCCTCCTCCTCCTCCTCCTCCGCCTCCTCGTCCTCCTCCGCCTCCTCGTCCTCCTCCTCTTCCCTCTCATCCTCGCGTTGTGAAACAATCACGACGGGATGTTTTTTGGGACAGTTTTTCATTATTCATTGTTTTGCCGATTGGCGCGGTCCCTCGCACCCCTCCCCCCTCCTCCCCTCATGCAGTAGATCTTGGTTGTTTTTGGTGCATTTTCCAGGCAGGTGGAGCCTAGACAGACCCCTCCCCTCCCCCCTGCCCTTTCGCCCAATGTCGAAACGCCGAATAAGAAAACGCTCAGTTCTATTTTCGGCCTCCGGGGTCTCTCACTGGGCCCCAGGACCGCCAACGAAACGACTCAGGAGGGAAAACTGGTGCCCGGGGAAGGGGTCCAGACCTCTGGGGGTCGACGTTGTGGAAAAGTCCCGACGTCTAGAGATCCGACGCACTAAAAAAAAACGGAGCGGGCGGATTTTGGCCGTCCTTCGCCCTCGAGAGGCCCCCGCCGGACCTCGGGGCCGTCAGAAAACGACTCGGGGTCGACAGCCCGTCCGAGGGAAGCGTTCCAGACCTCCGGGGCCCACGCATCGAAAAAAAATGAGCAGCTGGATGGAATATTCACATCTAGATCTTGGCATCGCTCGGACGTCCATCGAGGAGCGTCCTGGGTCATCTTGCGAAGGATGCACGCACGAACTCGAAGAATGCACGGGGAATGGACGTCCGATCGACGGCGAGAGATGTGTGTACGTACATGTGTATGTACCCCGCAGCTGCGGGTAAGAGTGAGGGGGCGGGCGCAGATGGGTCGCGGGTGGGTCGCGGGTCGCGGGTGGGTCGTGGGCAGATCGCGGGTGGGTCGCAGGCGTGTCGCGGGTCGCGAGAGGGAATTTGCATATATATGTATATATATGTATATATATATATATATATATATGTATACACATAGATGTATAGATCTGTATTTATTCATACGTAAAAATGTACGTACCTGTACATATAAAAATATGGTTGCATGGTACGTTTGGATGTACACACAAGTACATCGAGACATATGCATGTATGCTTACTGGCCTTCTGCCCATCTACCACCACCGTGCCTGGGTTGTGGGTCTGAGGCCTCTCGGATGGTGGTTGGGATCTCGTCGAGGCCTCTCGGGTGCCTCCTGGAGGCGGTTTTGAGGCCACGGGGGGGCTGTTCTGGTGGCTCATTTGCGCCTCTGTTGCGCCTCTGGGGAGCCTCTGGGGAGCCTCCTGGGGCCTCGCAGATTTACGGTTCGTGTTCCCCCTCTTGGGCCCCGCGCGAAGCGCGCGCGATTTTAGTATACAGACGTGTATCTCTCTCTCTCTCACTCTCTCCCTCTGTCATTCTCTTTCTCTCTGCCTGGATTCGTTTTTTTTGGTTCTGTCTCTCTCTCTCTCTCTCTTTGGCCCTCATCTCGATATCGATATATATATATATACATATATATGCGTACATGTATGGATCTATGTCTCTCTCTCTCTCTCTGCCTATGGCGTGTCCTTGATGTCCAAACGCTGCTATTTCTTCCCTGACCGATTCCATGAGTCTCTCCCCGTAGCAGAGGTTTTCGTCGAGGAGAGTGGGCAGGAAGCAAGGGGTTTTCGTCCCGGACTCTTTTCCCCGTAGCAAACTGTGAGGGCGCGAGGGGCAGGAGGGGACAGCTTACCTACGTCCCTCTGCGGTGGGATCACTCGCGGAGTAGTATATATCACATGGGATGTGCGGCATTTTTTTGCATGTGGGTCGGGGTCACATACCCGTGGTCAGGGGTTCCCGCGGTCACATTCGTTCCTGCACATCAGCCGTGTCCGACCAGGTTCTGCTTGCGTCCCTCTTAGTACCCCAGCTTCCTCGTACTCCCAGTCCCTCTTCCTCCTGCTGCCGCTTCTTTCTCCCACCCCTCCTGCTCTTCCTGCTTCTCCTGCTGCTCGTTCTGGTCATTGTACTTCTGCTGCCGCCACTGCCGCCGCCGCCACTGCGGATCCTGCTGCCGCTGTTGATCCTCGTCTTCCGCTCCTGCTTCTGCTCGCCCCCTCAACGTCCTCAGCAAACTCTTGTGCTTGCTCCCGCTGTTGCTCGTGGTGCTGCCTGCTTGCATGCTCATGTTCCTCCCCCCGAGTTCGCCTGCGGTATCCTGCGCCCCTTCTCCCCGCTTGGGGAGGCAGTGGATTCCTGGCCCGCCTGCTTCTCAGCTCCCATCGCTTCCACGCCCTCCCTCGGCCTTCAATCTACGCACCGATTATGCCTGCGTTCTTCCTCCAGTCTTGTCGTATCACTCCTGTTCTCCTTCATCTCTTCTCCCGTCCCTTCCCCTCGCTCCTTCAGTGCTTCTCCTCCTCGGCTTCTTTCCTGCCTGTATGCCATGGGTGTCCGTCTGCTCTCGGTGCTGTTTTTTTTGCGTCCTGCCCCCAGCCTCCTCGGAGACCGCTTCGTTGTTTCGTTGTTTGTTCTCCTGCTGGCAGGGTGCCCCTGTAGACGGGGAGAGTGCCTGCTCCCGAGTCGGAGCGACTTCGGTACTCACACCTTCGCATCAGCGCTGGCCACAGTCTTGGATCAGGCCTGTCACCCCGTTTCTGCGCCCGTCGTGGTCTTGGCTTGCGCAGCCGCCCAGGGCAGGTCCTTTTTTAGTAGGCCAATCTCAGCGGCAACCTCTGCGACAGAAGCCTGCGCTGCAGCCACTGTGCGCTCACCCTTGGAACAGTCACCTCTCTTACTCTTCATCCCCCTAACCGCCCCATTTTGAAGCCACCTTGAGCGCTGACAATGACACGGCGGTATACGTGGTCACACAATGGCAGCGTGCTTTTCTGCTTTCCAGCTTCGCATGGTATTCCCGTTTGCAACGCACGGCGGGCTCCAAGCTTACCAGTACCATCCAGAGATGTTTGCCCGACTGTCAGCAAATAAAGGACGGGCGCAATCGGGTGGCATTAATGGGATACATATATGTATAATGTGCATTGCGGGCATGCGTAATTAGCATAGTCGGTACAATTCACCTCATCCTCTCTCTGCCCCTCCCTTTTCCATTGTCCACTATCACATCCTGTTGTCAGCCTTTCTTTCTTCCATCGGCCCATGCGAGGATGACAGCTAGACGCGATACAGCTACATACTCTCGAATATAACGCGCTGCTTCCATCTGTGTGTGTGTGTGTGCGTGCGTGTGCGTGCGTGTGTGTGTGTGTGTGTGTGTGTGTGTGCGTGCGTGCGTGCGTGCGTGCGTGCGTGCGTGCGTGAGTGCGTGCGTGCGTGCGTGCGTGCGTACGTGTGTGTGTGTGTGTGTGTGTGTGTGCGTCACAATTTGGGGCGCTCGGTGCTTTGTCGGGAGTGCCTCGGCTCGGACGGTGCCTGGGCACTCCTTTAAATGTGTACACGCACGTATGTGTGTATACAAGCATTGTGCTTATGCTTGGGGAGAGGCGTGATGGATAGCTTGTAAGCGTGGTGGGTGACCAAGAGGCATAGTACTGGGTGTTTTGTGGCCGCTCTCTTTCGTATGCCCCGAGCAAGAGTGGGCCCAGCCAGTGGAACACGTCGCCCCGAGCTTGGATTCGCTCTCTGCCAGTTGCTCGAGTCCGTCGCTGATGCCAGCTGGGCACGTGTGCGTGCAAGAGTCAGCAGTCGTGAAGCTTCACCTGGATTGCAGGTGTTCTTCTGTGTCCAGCCTGGGTTCGGATACAATTCCTGGGAGGTCAAATTCTGTTTTCGCCCTGGTCCTAATCCGGCTTGTTCCCGCTCAATCCGGCTCAATCCCGCTTCATACCGCTGAATCTGCCTTAATCCGAGGCCCACTCCGGCATAAGAGCCCCCCAATGGGGCTTAATCCTTTTTAATCTTTCCGACGAACACCTCCCAGTAGTTGCCTCCTAAGCCTGGGGATGATGGCCGGCTTGTCACTGGCCAGGCCGCTCGCCCCCACGGCCTCCGCAGGCGCCCGCGAAGGGCTCGGAGGCGCACGTCCGGCGCGCGCCGGAGGGGCCTGACGCACTGCTGGCTGGCGGCCGTGCAGCCGGACAGGACGTCAGTGCTACTTTTCGGAGGTGGATAGTCGGGTATGGCCAGGACCCCAGGTGAGGGGACCCGGGGCGGGGGGGCGTCCCCCAGTACACCAGTACACATCACTACACCAGGTCCCACTAAACCCGGTTCTGCCAACGCCCGGGATCGACCTCCTACCCTGACACGTCGATTGAGGAATTGGCCGTTTTCGGTTCGCGAGGGGGCGTCGCGGCCGTCACTTTTGCGGGTCCAGTTCCGTCGGTGTCGGTCCCAGGCCGTTTTCACTAAGAGGAGGTTTACTAAAGGGAGGTTTGGCCACCGCCGACTTTGTTGGTTTTGGCTCGCGTCAGCGTCCAACGTCCCGTCGATGGAAGCAGATGAGGAGAGCGGAGGAGGCGAAGGACTTGGCGGTGTGGGCAGCAAGGAGACAGGTGTATACCTTGGCTCTTGTCACGCTGCTGATGTTAGGAGCTCTTCTTCTTCTTCTTCGGTCCCAGGTGGTGAGCATGACGTCTTCCTTTTTGCCTACCTCCGTCAGTAGTTTTTTGGAGTTCTCAGGCCCCTAGCGCCCATGGCTTTTTTGTTGCCACCATCCTGACTCTATCTTCGCTTTGAGCCTCCGAGCGAGTCTGAAGTTGGCAGCTGTTTCAGATCATGCCGCAATGAGAGATACAATTATGAAAGGTGTGCGCGTCAAATCGTACCACTGCATTACCCTCGCTGGTTGAGTTAGGCAAGCAATGCGTCCTATGTTGAAGACGAATGGAGTCATCCAGGCCCAGGTGGGCTCGCCCATCCTCCCTATCCCCGCCCTTCCCCCTCAAAATCTTTAATTCTCCCTCCGAGCCCCTTCTGCTCCTCTCTCTTCTTCTTCCCTCTGCCCCTCCTCTTTTTCCTCGTCCATCACCACCTCCGTGCTCCTTCTCTTCGCATATTGTCAGAGCTTCACTGCCCTTGCCAATTCAACATCCGTGTCGCGAGATTCACAAGAAAGAGCTGGCGCTCGACCTCAGCGTAGCTGTTTTCCTCCTGGCGTCAGTCTGCATCTGGCGCCGCCCCGTCATCGATCGTTTATTACTTATGTCGTCTCGACTTGCTGGAGCTGCCGAACAGCGGTTCTAGCGCTAAAGGATCCTTCGCGTAAGTATTCGACTCGTCGGGTACATCTGGGCCGAACTGCTTCACTGGCGCAGCATCCTGCACGCCGGGTGGCGCGGGGGAGGGGCCCTCTTCGTCTGGGGCCCCGCCTCTCTCTCTGGCGATCCCGATCCCGGCTGGTGGTAAAATGGGTCCGATCTGGGACAGGCGGGAGGAGAGGAATGGAGCTCATGATCAGCAAGACCGAGGAAGGAAGGGGACAGGTAGGGACAGGGCGAGGGGGAGGGGGAGTGGTTGGATAAAGGAGGGCGGGCGTGACGAGCGGAACAAGTGAAGCAAGGGATGAGCAGAGCTCAAGTTGAGCTTTGGTCCCGCACTAGCCGGTGGGACCCTGTCAGTCGATCTGTCAGAAGCGCCGCCATGGTGGGGAAAGGCACAGGAGGATCTCTTGGAGGCACAAGGGGAAGTTTTGGCAATAGCGTTGGAGCCGTTGCAGGAGGAAGCGAAGGAAGTGAAGGAAGTAGATGGGGACGTCAAGGGGGAGCGCAGAGCGCAGACCGACTTGGAGCGCCGAGCGATCGACTTGGAGCGCAGAGTGCAAGCTTTTGAACACGAGGCGGCGCCAGCAGCCAAATGGGATTCTACGCACGTCGGCATTTTTGGCCTCTGCCAGTTCAAGAAGGGCGGCACTGAATTTCGAGGGCGGGGCGACCGCGATGGTGACGAAGAGAACGGAAGTATCTGACCCTGAAAATCAGAGGGAAACACATAGTGACATAAACATAAACAACTCGGAGGTCCGCGCGGATTTCTTGGATCGGCGCTGGACCCCCCTCCTTGTCGCGCTGAGCGCGCCAGGGGCGGCGCCGGAGGCGCCGCCGGGGGGCCCCAGCGCCGATCCGAGAAATCCGCGCGGACCTCCGAGTTTTCATGTTTATGTCAATTTCGTTCCCCTATATCAGTCCCATGTCCAGGAGATCCATCCCTTCAGACAGCCCAGCCTACACAGTGTGGATACCAGTTGCTGCAGCATGTTTGATTGGTGTCAAGAACACATGGAACACATCCTAAAGAAAGCAACGTTTTTTTCAGGGGGGGTTGTACGCTCGTCCTGAACGCCACCCTGATCTTCAAGCTCGTTACGTTATGTTGGGACATATCTGGACTGGACCACGCATAATTTCTCGTCCAAGGATCCGAAGGCGTCGTGGTCACCAGAGTTTTGCGTCAAGGTCGACCCCTTCCTACACGGAGGGCGACATGGAAGTGAACCCGTACGGGGTGTTGTGCGAAGTGGGGTCCAAGGGCATTGTCCGCTGGAATCAGGAGGGGTTGCTCTCGATAGGCCTGAACATCCATCACTCCAGGGATAGCATTAGCCAATACCTTCACCCGCGCAGCCATCAGGGGGCCCACCACCTACATCGAGTATGGGGGAATACTCGGCTCTTAGCTACAACGTGTGCAAAAGGAGATCTTGCGAGGTCTCGCGCGTCTTTGCTTGCAAGAAGTTCCAAGATGGACGCCCAGGATGATGAATACCGTTGCCCCTTACGTTGTTCAGATTCGCCGGTCTCGTCACGACGAACGTGCAAAGAGGGATGGGTTCGATAGTGGATTTCTCGTGCCCGGTTTCCTGATTCACAAGGCGCGCGATGAACGTCACGGCAAGTAATGGAGTTGGATGGTAATTGGTATCGGTTCGCTTGAAAACACGTTGTTTTGTCAGTGTGCATCTCGTTTATCAAATCACAGGGGATGGGGAGCTCCTGAGTGTTGCAGTATCTATGTTGGACGGCCCCCGGAAAGATACGCCGAAGTATTTCCAGGAGTGCCTTTCAGACGTCATGGGCGCCTTTCTGTCGTCGTTGGTATCGATGCGAACATCACTTAGCCTTCTGATGTACTGGAATTCACAGGCAGCTTGACTATGACACCAGCTGTGCACGTACGGTAATCCAAATCTGGATTATGAAGAGACGTCGTTCCGATCGATCGCATATCGATTCCGTAACGTAGTGGTATCAGCGGGCATCTCTGCAGCGGCGTGGCCCTTGATCATTTCGGACGTGAAGTCGGGAAGGGCCTCTCGCATCGCGGATGGACCGTCGACCTGAAAGAGCGGCTTCGGAGTGGACCGTGCAGCGTGCCAGCAAAGTTCCTCAGCCTGATTCGTCTTTTTCGATTACTTTTTTGCCGAAGCGTCCTTTCATCGACCCAGCCGTCCGAACGGAATTTCCAGAGTATGAAATGCGCCAGGAGTGGGGCCATTTGACTTTGGCTGTGTATGAACGGGCTTTGCTTGAGGTATCCGGCGCGTTGCGTGGCACCGGAGGGAGGGGCGACTTTGGCGATCCCGGGGCCCACTGCCGCGAAGAGATGATTCAGTGACGGTCGAAGATTCGCACAACTGCCCCAGATTCGGAGCGCAAGTGCTTGATGCGTGTTTTTGTGGGAAGCGGCCAAAGCCAGAAATACGTACAACGCGATGAAACAGATGGGCGATCTTCGCAGGCGTGCTTCTCCAGAAATCATGCCATCAGTACGCAAGCAGTTGGCGATCGGAGATCGTGGCTGGCTGGCGCGTGGGATTTTGGCATCTTCCAACTCGGGGTTCCGATTGTCGACTCGGCAGTGCAGGGAAGGCGGCCTCGCGGTTTGCAGAGCGCGATGGCCAATGACAAGCTCGATGGGGGACGATCTGAAGATATGGCATTTGGGGGGACCTTGCAGGGCCGGGCATAGACACAACGTATATCGACTGAAGTTGTGGACTTGGACGCCCCCGACGTCTACAAGCATCTCCCTGTCTTGGCGGTGGCGCAAGTTCATCGCGCGCTTGTGGATTATGCTGCCAGGTATCGTCATGATGATGTATTGCCTTTTCGGAGGATCATGAAGCTTGTGGGCCCCCCCGGGAATCAAGATGGCACCGTGTTTGCAAGCGTGTTTTTTTGCATCGGCGCAGCCGTTGCTTCGTGAGCAGGTCGAACAGCTGGCTTGCAATACGGTGCTGCTGTGGAGCCTCCTGAACGACACCTCGGGGAGCGGTGCCGCCTTCTTCCTCGGTGCGATGGTGATCCATCGTGGCACCGCGGGGTGAATGGCTCTGGGCCTGGAGAACATCGGCGGGTTCCACAACGGCATGAAAAGCGCCAGCGTCGTCATGGCGCAGTACGACCCCCATCAGGCTGAGCCTCTGCCCGTGGGTGAGTACATGATTCGTCCCACGCTGAGCGCTTTCCGCTTGAGCCATCGGAGCCGGAGAACGCTTCTCTCGCATCATCACGCCATTCGATCGAGAACGGAGCCTCTGTCCTAGAGTTCAGGACCAGCCACGTCTACAAGAGGGTGCTGAATCTATCGGAGCCGATTGATGCCGATTCGGCTAGCGACGTTAATGACTTTCCCTCGCAGCCGCGCTCGGTGAACCGCCTCATGTGGGCATTGACGCAGAACGCGTACTGCGCCGCCGACTTCGGAGGGTACTGCGTGTATCGCTCCAGCCCCGGCAACAATTCCTGCGCCGTGAAGGGGTTGGAGGGCGAGTAGCGGTCGACCTCGCGCGCGGCACGATTGCGGATGCCGACGCCACTTCCGCGCCCGAGTTCACGGAGGCGAGCTCGACAGACGCGCGCCAGGGTTCAGTGGGTTGCTTTGTTGGTGGCGTCGATCCTGCCCCCGTGGCTTCGTGGCTTCGCCAGTGTGCCATCGCCGCTCCGAGGGCCTGCGACCAGCTTGTGATCTAGAGCCTATCTCATCGTTCCCGCAACATCGTACTGTTCTTGTCAATGTGTTGAAGTTCGATTTCGACACATATTCGAGCAACATCTACATTACCTATACGACCACCCTTCGGGTGATGAGGAAGTTTTTTGGGGGGGGGACCAACGTCTCACTCGATCGGTCCCACTATCGATCTTACTATCGATTTGACTATCGGTCTCGCTCGCTCGATCTCTCTCGATCGATCTCACAATCGATATCACTCGATCTATTTCGTTCGATCGAGCTCACAATCGATCTGAGTATCGATCCCACAATCTATCTCACTATCGATCTCACTTTCGATATCACAATCTATCTCACATTCTGTCCCACCATCGATATCACAATCGATCTCACAATCAACGTCATTATCGTCGTCGACATCATCGTCATCAACGTCATCCACATCAGCATCATCGGGACACCATCATCATCATCACTTTATCACCACCATCATCAATATCATCATCACCATCATCATCATCGGGACACCATCATCGTCACCATCATCCGTATCATCATCGGGACACCATCATCAGCATCATCGGAACACCACCATCATTATATCATCATCACCATGAACAACAGGGTCAACATCATCATCATGGGGACACCATCATCAGCAACATCATCATCACCAACGTCATCATCATCGGGACACCATCACCATCGTTACCATCATCACTACCGTCATCATCGGGGCAGTATCCTCATCATCAACATCAGCATCATCATCTGCATCATCAGCATCATCATCGTGCCACCATCATCGAAATCAGCTTCACCTCACCATCATCCTCATCATCAGCACCATAATCATCAACGAACGCCATCCTCGCCATCATCATCAACATCGTCATCATCATCGGGACACCATCATCACTGCCATCAGCATCAGCCCTTCCCTCATCACCACCATCATCGGGACACCATCATCATCATCATCATCATCATCATCATCATCTCATCATCTCATCATCAGCAACATCACCAAGATCACCATCATTTTTTCCATCGGGACACCATTAGCATCATCAACAACATCATCATCATCAACATCATCACCATCGGGACACCATCATCACCACCACCAGTGTCATCATCATCATCACCATCATCACCATCTTCGGGACACCATCGTCACCATCTGCATCATCAGCATCATCATCAGCGGGACACCACCCTCATCATCACGTTTGCGACATGTGACGTTTGCGATGTCCTCATGTTTCAGGTGCTGCAAACACGATAGGACATTGGACCGTGTTTTGCCACGACCAGGCGAATTCGGTCCGCATCCATGTTTGCGGCGCAGACCTTTGCTATGGTCATGAAGGGCGACGATCGCAATCCGGGTCCCGCCAGGCTCGTGCACCCTCCTCGGCGTCCAAGCCCAAAGATGTCCCTCTGCATGCGAACTTGGGTTGATTGCTCCACCCCAGACCTTTTGGGTGGGTTGATACGCCCCGATACTCACACGATGAGTGTTCACTAGATGCGGTTCGGTTCCTTTGAATCTTAGGCTCGGACACGAAGGGGCCAGCCGACGTCGCAAGCATCACGTACAAACAATGCATTGTTTCTTTCAGGTCGAATCGAACGTCCTGAGTTGCTATCGGCCGACTATACGGCGGAGCGCGATCATATACGACTGAGGGACAAGGGGAGTGGGTGTGAGCTGGCAGCGAGGACGGGGTAGGCAGATTCTGATTCTGGTGATGACGATGGTGATCTGATGGTGCGGATACGAATGATGATGACGACGATGATGCTGATGATGATGATGATGATGATGACGATGACGATGACGATGACGATGGCGATGATGATGATGCTGATGATGCTGCTGATGATGCTGATGATGATGATGTCGAAGATGCTGCTGCTGTTAAGGATGATGATGATGATGATGATGATGATGATGATGGTGATGGTGATGATGATGATGATGATGATCGTGATGGTGATGGTGATGGTGATGGTGATGGTGATGGTGGTGATGATGATGATGAAATGACATCAGCGGGAGGAAAATACAGATGACTGCAATGAGGTGAATCAGAAGGAATATAAGAGCAGGAGGTAGAGGATCCCTTCGCTGCTTCCCAGTTGCAGGATAGCTTCGAGCGGGAACCGGGAGTCCCACTGCATGGAATCGGCACCTCGCGCATGGACAAGCGGGAGGTGAACCTGGGATTTTGAATGAGAAAGCGGGAGCAGGGAGGAGGAGGGTGATGGTGGAGAAGGGAGGGTTGAGGAGGGAGGATATGGAGAAGGAGAAAGACTGATCAGGGGGAGGAGGGATTGGGAAGCGGAGGACGAGGAATTCGGTGTGAGGAGGACCAGGTTACGGGATCAGGAAGAAAGGTGGGAGTCTGTCGCATGACGTCCGAACTTCCTCACTCGTCCGTTGACTGGCTGGCGGTTCGTTATCGGGTTCTCGTAAGGTCAGCACGTGTTTTTGGGGGACCCGCTCTTCCTCCCCTCCCTCCCCTGCGCCTGACAGGTACCGGCATGCGGTTCCCACCAATTATGTCATTTCATGGCAGAGTCGCGCCGTGTCGATGCGACGGCGACCCCAACGCGGGCGCTGCAGACTGACCGCCGCCAGTGGCTCACTGTCGATGTCAACCAATCCTTGCTATCGCTATGCCGCGATCGTCAAGGTTGAACGATTCGCGAGGTGTCAGAAACAGACGTCGAGATCGTCACCACACGAACCTGTCGTATGCGTGTGGCGTGCGTATTCCCAGTGCGCCCCTTCACTTTCCGGGGGCTGCTAAAGGTGCCCCTGGCCCAAGGTGCCCCCCCAGCTCCTCGCTCAATCTTGAAGCCCCTGGGGCCCTCAGGGCCTCCAGAGGGGTGCCCCGGAGGGTGCGGGGGCCTCCTCGGAAATCCTGGGGTCGCCATGAGCTAGGGGCACTTCTAGCAACACCTAGACCGTCCCTGCCCGGGGGACAAGGAGGACGAGGGAGGGAGAGGATGAAGACAAGGAGGACGGCGAGAACGATGAGAGGAGGAGGACGAGGAGGAGGAGGTGGAGGAGGAGGAGGAGGAAAAGGAATAGGAGGAGGACGACGAGGACGAGGAGGAGGACGAGGAGGAGGACGAGGACGAATAGCAGGAGGAGGCGGAGGAGGTCATTTCAACCCTCCTCCTCCTCCTCCTGCTCCTTCTCCTCCTCCTCCTCCTGCCCACGGCCCCCGCTCGCCCGCCCAGCCTTGGCCGGCCTCCTCCTCCCTGCTCCGTCCGCGCCGGCGGCACAACTCCTCGCGCGCGCGCTGCAGTCGGAGGAGCAAGTCGGCGTCACCCCAACACACAAGCAGTGGCGAAGCGTCCTGGCTCGCCTATAGTATTATAGCCCTACCAAGCGATGTTCTAAGAACCTTTTTTTGTGGTTTCCACGAAATGTTCTTAGAACATGTCTGGTGGAGTCTGTCTTGTTTTAGCACATCGGGTTTCTGCTCTAAGAACATGGTTTTTGTTTTTAGAACATTTTTGAGTTCTAAGAACATGTCGTGGTAGGACTATAGGAATGCCGGGATGGTCGGTCCCTGCTCAAAACACACTGATCGAGTCAACCCGCATCAGAAGGATAGGCAACCTTCCCAAGGGTACCCTTGAATCCTGGCCTCCTCGGTCCATCCTTGGCCACTGTCGTGGGCCGCGCCCCGTTCCAAAAGCTTCGGAATGGGCGTCCAAGGCCCTTGCATCCTCATCGCGCATCCTTCTGATGCGGGCCGACTGTAATACTACGTGTGCGTCGCCCCCCCAGGGGCGACGCGCGCACCGAGAAATCTTACAGTGTATGCGTCGTGGCGAGCGCTTTCTGACCACACCGCTCGGGAAACCATATGCTACAAGATGGTTCCATTAGATGAGGACTCATCGTGCTAGTAAGTCCTTGCGCGTCCAAGCAAAAGGTAATGATAATGTTACGTTCCGAGATTTCCAGGATTTGCAAGATCTCCTGTTGTTCCACAGGGGCTGCAGAAACGGGAGCCGCCAGGTATTCTGGAAATCCTGAAACGTGTCCTGAGCCAATCCCATCATGCCGTCATTCCCGTCCCAGATGTTTCTCCGCACCAGAGAATCCAGTCGGCCAGCAGTGCTGCGGGTCACGTCAGCACAAAGTCCAACATGCACGCACGTCCGCGCCGCGCTCCAGGCAGGGCGATGCTGGGTAAGCGGCCCTCGCCTCCTTTGCTGGAGGTCGTGTGCTCGCTCTGGTGAGCTTTTTTTATGCATTGTTTTGCCGATCGGCGCGTGCCCTCGCATCCCCTCTCCCCCCCCCTCCCCATCGAGTAGATCCTGGCCTTTTTGGGCGCCTGTTTCGAGCAGGCGGAGCCTCTCCCACGGGACGCACTGCTGCAAACAGTCGCGCTAAGCAGAGGTCCGGAGCCAGACCCCCCCCCTTCCGCCCAATGTCGAAACGCCGAACATCGAAGAAGAGATACCGCCGTAAACATACACTTTTGGCGCTCCGCGCGGATTTCTTGGATCCGCTGACCCGCACCGCGCCCGCCCCCCTCGCCTTCCGGGGCGGGCTCGGGGAGGGCAGGCCGCACCCCCCAGCGCGCTTCCCTCGGGGCGCGAGGCGCCCCGCTCGGGAGGGCAGCGCGGGGAGGGCCGCCCACGGGAGCCCTGGCGTTACAGGTCGGGCGTGTCCCTCTGCAGGAGGAAGGTTCCCCAAAAGTGCCAAAAATACGCAGGTGACGATTTTTGGGTTGTTTTATACTCTTTTTGAATCTTTCCTGCGTGTTCTATATCTTTCCTCCCAAATCCGCGTGTAGGGGGGGGGGACACGCCCGACGTAACCCTGGGGCCCACGGGGCCATCGAGGATCACGGTCATCTCGCGTGCCTCTCCCACGAGAGGCTGTCGTTCCGCCTTGCGTCAGCGCTTGCTGGCGGTGCCTCCTCGCAGGCAGGGCCATCGAATCCTCCTCCTGCCTCCCCTTCCGCTTC